AGTTCTCTGGAAGGATTCACAAAAATTTTAGAGGAGTATTACGGTAAAATGACGCTGGGTATGAGATCTACTGGTCATGAGTTTTCATTTTGTAGAGTAATAGACAGTAGTAGGGTTGGGAGGGGCAGAAGAGATATTGGCTTTTCTGTCAATAAATTTTTTGAGATCTACGCACAGCACATGATACTCATGGCAGTTGTTGAGTGTCCAACCCAGAAATGTAGAATGCTGAGCTTAACAACAACTGTCATAATGAAACTATACCAGTACTGTCTTTCCTAAACATAATTATATTACTATTCTCAAAGGCCTATTAAGAAATTAGTGAAATACTATATGTAAACATGAATACACATCTCCCTTTTGGGACAACTCTAAGACCTCAGCTATAGGCTTAACTGGTGTGAAACTAATTTCCTAGGCAGGACAAGGATCCTGTCCTCACCCCTGTTGAATTACCAGCCACGTTAGTTCTTGTTCCTTGTGAAAGGCAGTGCTGCTCAAACTGCAGAGCCCTCTTCTGCAGTACTAGGCTGGTACTACCCTAAATTTGGATGCACAGACTTGCACTGGCCTCTCCTAACACTGGCTGCATGCACATGTGAAGGACTACTTTAAATGCAAAACCCCATTTACCAAGTAATCCAACTTGCCCTCTTCACTCCTCTAGCACTCTTTATTTTACCTGCACACCAACAATTTTCATTTGCATCAAAGTACAAATAGAGGACACCTTCCAGCCTTGAAAAGCTGCTTCCTATAAGCTTTCCCTGCCTTTGCTGTCAAGGAACAGCAGTCTCCCTCATTAACAGCAGCTTTTTGAGGCCTGTCAGAAAGCCAGTCCTTAATCCATCTAAGGCAGACCACACTGATACAGGAGGGGGCTATTTTTAAACAACAGTGTCCTGCCATACCAAGTCAACCTCCTGATGACATCTGAGTAATGTTAGATCCAGCTCAACAAATGCATCATCTCATAGAAAAAGCCAAAATGGTCTTTGACATCTTTGACGTGGCTACTTGTATGTCAGTGATTACTCTTCTTTAGTTGAACTACTCTGAGCTGGGCACTAGTGAGCAGTGACCACCATTGTTGTTTTTATCTGGTAAGGAATCAGTAGAGTAGTTCCCCACTTGAATCTCTAGGCTGGACATCTCTTGAACCTGAAAACCTTCTCCAACTCCTGTGCTTTAGTTGATGGTTTCTCCTCAGTGCTGTCCCTCAATGATTGCCTTTAATTCACCTGATGTATAGGTAATGCATGTTCACTGCATCATATGTGCATTTGTACCCCAGATGCACCAATACAGACTCAACAGTGCCACTTCACAGCTTTATGACTATTAGATAAGCGACAGAAAATATTTATGTTTCATAAATGCTTGTCTATGTTTAGATCACTGTCTCTGCAGTAACAGAGAAGGGGCCATATAATAAATTGTGGAGCCCTGCAGTTTATCTATCCGAAATGAGATAAATTAGCGCACCTGCCCCCATCAAGCCTGCTTCTTCTAGGGCTATTGGCATTCCAAACTTCTAAGCAACTTGCAGCAGGCATATTTTTTAAAGCCAAAAATTGCTTCCTTTTTTTACCCAAAATTTTACCCATCAATCCACTTCAGGAAAAGAGCAGATGCAAACACTTAAGTGTTCTATACAGGAACAAGCTCAGAGAGAAGAGGGCTGCAGAACTCCTCTTTTAACCTCTCCCTTTTGTCCTGATGGCATCTTCCCACAGCATTAAGAATGGGCACTACTCACTTCCATTGCTGGTAGAGCAGCAGATGGATGCTGTGGTGATTTAGGGTCAGGCCCAAGCAGACAATTTTGTCTCATGACACAAAAATTCACCCATATCTGTAATATGCATGATACCCAAGTGGGGAGATGTGATGTGGGCTCTGCTCAAGGAAGGGTCAAAAAACCAACCGCTCCTGGTCATCATAGGATCCTCCAGGACACAGAGTTTATGTTTTCCTCCTAAGCAGAGAGAACTGGATTCTGCTTTTCAGTAGTTGTCTCACATCTCCCCACTTCTCAAACCAGATTTGCACAATGCTCTGTCTTGCTACAGTCAGTGTGTGAATTACAGGGACTTCAGAAAGATCTGAAAATCACAGCTTAAGCACGTCAATGGCATTAAAAACATATACATTTGACACTTCTGTTTTTAGAATCACACATTCTACTTTTTTAAGACTATTTTGGTATTTCTTGCCCTGATAAACCATAGCATCCAAGTACTGCTCAATGTTACATGCATCTCTAACAACTCTGACATAAGGGCAAAGTCCATTATTTAGATTTTACAGATAGAAGAAGAATGCACAGAGAGGCTTGCTGTGTACTTGCAAAGTACTTGCTGCAGACAAAACAAGTGGCTAACTCACGTTCACTGAGGTTTATATTAATGTCCTAACAGTAAACTCCTTCTTTTCCTCTTCCCTTGACACTTGCCTCTGTGTCAGAGAGATATGTATTAAAACTGTGGTAAGTCAGAGTAATAAAATCAAGCACAAAATCAAACTCTTCAAAAGCTGTCAGCCTTCTGGTGTAAAAATCCATATTTCCATGTTTTGATTTGTTTTCCTTAAATATTCAGTGATGCATACTTAAAAATTACTTTGCACATCTTCCTCACAAACTCATTTTCCATGGTGATTATGGAAGACAATGTATAGGCAACAGAGTGTAGACAACCCAGTGGTAAGTGGATTTCTTTCTGTAAGTCTAGTATGCAATCAGAGTGATCAAAGAATGCTGGAGTAAGCTTCTGCTCATCTCAGTGAGATACTACATCTTGTTAAAATACAGGAAACACCTAGCTGAACTGAAATGCCATGTCTTTCTGCTTCTGAGAAAGGCAACATTTGAGGACTGACCTTATTTTAGCTGACCGGTGGCAGAAGAGAAATGTCTAACTTGTGTCATGTCACTCATTCTGATGGAGCAAAGCTTACACTAGAAGTAAACTTCTCTGCATTCTAACAAACATTTGCAGCAGCCAAAGCACAGGAGAAAAGTTACCTAACAAGCTTATATGGAAAACCTGTTGCTCTGTAGAGTGGTAAGCAAACAAGTCAGTTCATGGACCCACATTAAAGCTTAAAATAAGGCTGAATATTTTTGATGCTGAAGTAAAATTATTTCAATCTAATTAACTGCACACATTGCTATACTGTGTTTTATTTACTGCCAGAAATAGAAACCAAAAGGAAATATGTATAGAAAACAAAGATCCAGCTTCTCAAGGTCTTCTCTTACACCAGCATAAACCTACTGTAAAAGCTGCAATACACCAGGTGATAATTCTAAATCCATAATGGTTTCATTGGTGTGAAACGCAAAATACTAAGAAGCAGAGCACTTTATCTATTCTGGTGAAAGGTTTAAGGACACCACATGGAAATGGGTGTGGTTTGGTGTTCTGTCATATAGCACTCAAAAGAAACAACAATAATGTAAAGCTTTTTTTTTTTTAATGTGGCGATGGAAGTTTTTCAGAGCTATGCAGAGCAGCAATACATGGAGCAGCGCTGCAGTACAGTTCTGCCATAAAGGGGTCCCAAATCACAGGTAGTGGTGAGGCTTGCCTCTGGGGGAACATTCCTGGTGTTTCCATTTGGAGATATGTCAATGCCTATGCTGACAGAAAACTGTGACCCAGCTTAAAAATATGCATCTACTTTCTCCTGCCTGAAAATTAATTAGTTAGAGCTTGCCCCCTCCCCATATCAAATAATACCATTTGCTCTTTCACAGGAAGTATTTTAGAGAGAAAAACCCCCACAAACTTAGTTTTAAATCTGGTTACTTTAAATTTCCATGGAACTATTAGAAGAACAGTAGACATCAAGCAAATATCTTGGAACAACAGCAGCAGCAGCAGCAGCCGCCGCAGCAGCAGCCATTCCTCTTACACTACAAAGGAAATCTGTAACCTGTGCTGGCTACAGAAAAATGTAGCATCTGTTGATCACTGGGGGAACTTGGGAAGGGAATGTAAAACCCATGCGGGCTCTGCCATCTTCTGTTTCTCTTCAGACCTCCAGGTGTGCAGTCCCTGGCACAGACCGTGCCATCCCTCTGGGACTGGCACAGCTGCATCAACATCTCTGCCATGGGGAAGAAGAGCTGGGTGTCACTCTAACAAGGGCAGGCTGTATGGGGCTGTCAGACTGGCAGTGCCCACACAAACACAGGCCTTTTGACATGGTGCCTGTGACATGCTAGAAGATGAGCTGGCAATTTCTGTATGCCAGGATGATGGTAGATTCTAAACACCCAGGCCCAATACTCACCAGGTATCAGTGCCCACATTTCTCAGAGGTCTGCACCAGCTGAGCTCATGGCTCAGTCCAAATTACTGTACTAAATCTGAAAACAAAAGTTAAAGCTAAAATGGGGCTAAATCCTGCCTATGTTTTACCCCGGCAGGATGCAACTCAGAAGGGAATTTGAAGGCATGTTCTCAGCTAGGGAGCTGAGGTGACAGTTTAACTAGTAGATCAAATAATTACATCATTTTGATAATGCAGTGTCTGTGTTTGTCTTAAAAATTAGTAATATCGCAATTATTTTCTGCAATAAAAGCCACCCTTCAGCAGATCCTTTTGCTTAACTTCTTAATCAGCTAAGCAAAAGCTCACACTGTGAGAAAATACATTTTCAGCAGACTACTCATTTTCTCCCACAATCTCCCTTTCTCCCCATTTACTCCTTCTTTTCTTCTCCATCATCAATCTTTTAAGCATGCCACTGTGCATTCACATTTTTCTTTCTGCACGTGTCAGCTCAACGCTGTTCCTCAGAGCCCTCTTTCTCCGCCAAATCCCGCAAAGCAGATGTTAACCACTCATTTACCGAACAGAGAACTCCACACACAACTTTGCAAAAGCCAGGCTCTCCGGGTGCTTCCCAGCCACTGCGCTGGAATACTCCCTTCCCTCCGCAACCCACAGCTATGGACAAAGGAGCAAGTAAAATGAAACTGACTTACTGCTATGGCTTGGAGCCTTTCCTTGTGCAACTCTGCTTCCGCCATCCTGGAGAGAAGGACACGGGAGGAGAGAGAGGGAGACGGGTGGGAGAAAAAAAATAGAAGAAACAAGAAGGCAAGCAAAACCAAAACGGAGCTCACACTGCAGTCACCGGGTGGGAACTGGAGTAATTGCAAAGAAAGCTGAGCTCCTGTATAGCAGTCAACCACTTTTGGAGGCACTGCAGCCTGGCTCACGGTAAGATCATTTTAGTCACTGGACCAGTGCCTGCCTCGCTGCCTGTCTCCCAGCTGTATTGCTAAGTGCATTTCATTGCTGCTTCTGTGTGCTGGTGCTGTCACACAAACCATGTATGCACTCTCCAAGCAGCTGAGCAGAGGGATAGCTCGCATGGCTATAATTTTTTGCGTTGACGTCTCAGCTCATTTGCTCCTCCTATGGGGTGCTGGGTCACGACAGGAGCTCGACATCAGTAGCGTGCACAGTAATCCAAACCTGCCTGACTGCAGCAGAGGAAGCAGACAGCTGTGGCACAGCATGTCCTTAGCGAGCAGCACAGCAGGGAGGGAAGGACGGTGGCACATGGCGCAGGGAGAGGGAGCTGCGGCAGGCAGGCAGGCAGGCAGGCAGGCAGGCAGGCAGGCAGGCAGGCAGGCAGGCAGGCAGGCGGCGGCTACAGCCTCAAGCTAAAGCAGGTTTGGCTAAGGGAAAGGACAGGGTGGCAGGAGGGAGAGCATGGACTTTAGGGGAACCGCACAGCCGCTTGTGAATGCAGTGGTAACATGGCACTCCGCAAAAGACTTCTGCTGCAGAGCAGCCCTTAAGAGAAGCAATGAAGAGCATGTGTATAGAAAGGAAGACGTAAGGTGTCCACACACCCTGCATTAACGTGCATTGCAGGTTAAAGGACTGTATTGACATCAGATATTCAAAAGTGACAAGGCTGTGTATGCAAACAACCTGACTGAAGACCTTGGTGTTATACACAGAGGAGGAGGCAGGTGAGGAAGGGACGGCACGCCTGAGCCAGTATCATGAGGGTACCCTTGATTTCAAGGGTACCCTCACATTTTTATTTTTACTTCTATGATCTTCCATCTACTTTCTTTTCTCCTAGACAGCAAAGAAGCCCCCCACTCACTCCCAGTCCAGTCCTACAGGGTGCTGCTGCAAGGATGACACGGGGCTGGCACACTGGAGGGGTGTCTCTGAGCCAGAGCAGCCACTGTGCCAGATGGAGGGCTGAGTGAGCGCTAACTGTGGCATCCTGGGGCTGTCTTACCACGAGGAACAAAAGTGCATTTTACAGCATATAATTTTGATGTAACAACCTCATGCTGACAAAGACAGGAAAACTCCATCATTTTGGAGTAAAGCAATCCGGAAGTCAGCCTGCTTCTTCCCATGTGCTTGCCCTTTCAAATGCCACCCAGCCTGGCATTTTACCTTTACACATCACAGTCTCCTCTCCCAGACATCCTCCACCTCCATCCCACTTCCAGCTCCAGGAACTCTTGCTGCAGGCTGCTTTTCAGTGCAGCTGTTTTCTCAAGTGTTTTCACCTCCTGGTCCTGTTTCCCTTACTGGTGCACAGCCTCCTTGTCTTGTGACAGGATGTCAAAAGTGACTTCTTGCTTAGCTTTGCCTCTGGGAAAAAAGTCCTTTGTTGTACAGAAAACTGAGAACATTATATAATTCCAGTAGTCTCTGTGGCCAAAAGGCAATGTTTTATTGCCATAGCCCAAGTGAGGCAGTGTCTGTAAGTGGGTGTTGGACTCACAGCTAAGGGAAATGCAGAAATTGCAGCTAGATACTGGGACACTCTTTCAGTCTTCCAATTTCAAGTAATTTGTTGAATAGCATCTGTCTTGTAGTTTATTTGGTCCCTGTCAGTCTGTTGTTTTTCTTCAAAACCTCTTTTTTTGTTGGTTTTTTTTGTTTGTTTGTTTTTCATTACCATGTAAAGGTCCATGCACTGCTACTTGTATTACTACAGCTGGTTTTGAAATATCCCATCACACAGGATTCAGACATCTATACTCCCACATGTGCTCTGAGAACATATATGGGCAACTCCTACTAAGGCTTGATAGCTATGCAATTAAATCCCTTCAATACCCTTCTCATGTTTTGCTGCTAAGCCTTGCCCAGGGGAGGAATTCTGCTACAGTCTATATCCAGCAAAGACAAGGGTTATGCCCCAGTGCTTACTGGAGCTGGAATGGGCAGCCTATTCACTCCATGACCTGTAGTCACACTATGTGCTGCCAGAGTGGTGTGTGATATGCATCACATTAGGCCATTCCCTCTTTCCCTCCATATAACATCCACTCAGGAAAGCATTTAAACATATATTTGAGCAATGTAGTCATATATTTAAATGGATATGGGCATCTCAATTATGATACAAAACCTTGGAACAGTTCATGAAGTACACTAACAGCAGCTGAGCTGAACACTGTATTAGCCTCGTGTTTATCCTCTCCAATTTAACTGCAGTGCTTGTTGCCAGCAAGGGATAGGAAGGCTGCATCCTAGTGAATGCTGCTGTGTTCCTGGTCCCTGTGAAACATGCTGTGGGGCTGTGCACTCCTCCAGTTTAGTTTGCCAAGGAAACATGAATCAGCTGTACTGTAGTAGTCCACTCTGCTGGCTCTTTATGAATGTACAGGAATGACAGAGGTCAGCACCAGAGTAGTTTCTTGCTGTTGACTAGCAATGAGGAAAGGCTGTAAGTCAGGCAATAGTAATAGCCTCTGGTTTCCCTGTAGTGTCTTTCTCTCATATGGCTTGAAGCCTGTGATTCAGTGAAGTGAAATTCTTTACCCAAGTGGTTCACAGAGCAGACCCAGGTGAAATGACCTCTATGAGGTGACTCACTACAGGAAGAAGACCATAGGGGACAGCCCCTGTGGACATTTAGTTAGTGAAGGCAACTTTAAGTGAAACAAAACAAAACAACCAGTCCATTTCTACACATTTTTTGACCCATGTTGGTTAAGATTTTTGTTTCCAGTATGTTTTGCTATGTTGGTAAGGAACTTTAATTAAAAAAGTAAGAACTTGTTTAAGGCCTACAGTTTTTTTAATTTGTTTTGTTTTACTTTTAGGGCAGGAGAGCAGGGTGATATTTCCAAATTTCGAAGATACTAGGAAAACAAGAGAGGATGGAGTGTGTAGGGAGGAACAAGAAGATTCTAGAAGAGTAGGTGAGAGAAAAGTATTTTAATATACTTTGTTCAGTAGCTAAAAATTAGGAAGAAAGAAAAAATGTCCCCATTATTTTTTCAAATGTCAGTTAAAAACCTGTTCTTTTCACAGAAATTTTTAGAAGAGCAAAACCTGCTAAATCTTAATAATGTGTAAATTGCATGCCATTTTTCCATGCAAACCAGACTTTTATTTTCATTTCTTTGGAAAAGAGTGTAGGAAACAACCTCTTCAAGGGTGAAGAAGATCCTGAAAGCGCTCTGAGATATGTGTAGCCTGAACTTTATATGAGACAGCTTAGTTATACAGTAGAAATCATATTCTTGTCCTTGCCATGGAGCTGAGCTGGTTTAGGAAAGGTTCTAGTTTAAATCACTTGTGTTTGTTTTTTGACAAGCCAACCAGGTTGTTTTTTTGCCATTGCCCTGCACACTATCGGAACTCTTCTGCATGATGCCAGACATCTTGTCCTTAGGAAACCTTTGGCTTCCCATCCTCCTGGCTCTTGATAGAACTGATTCAGTCTAAGAAACCAGACTTTGTCTTGAAGACTGCGTAAGGAAGGCACACACATACACATGAAGGTCAGGATTAGCACCTCGGCCATAGCAAATGCATCAACATATTTGTGAGGTGATAAATTAGTGGTTGGATCCTGGCAGTGACTGTCAAGAAAACACAGCGCAGGAGGGAAAACAGGCTTCACATTTGCATTTCAGATTGTTTGAGAGGAGATACTTCTGGTTTTTAAAATTACCACATGCCAACACACTGCAAACATTGTTCTGGCATCCTCAATATTGTCAAGCATTCCTGCCTAGGTCTACTGGAACCATACTATTTTCATTTGAGTTGAAATTCTGGGGTTTGATTAATCTGCTTTTTATCATCCTTACAGACTCTGGCTATATTAAAATAGGCCAGGAATGAAAAGTTCATCTAAATTTTAGATTCCTGAGCTCATCACCCATGCTCATTTTTTGTACTCCCTCAAACACGATGCTTCATACAACATAGCCTTTGAAACTTTTGGCAGTGTCACCATCTGGCATCTCCAGGAGAGGCTACTCCATCTGCAATTTTAATTGCAGCTCTTATCTGCAAAAGTCTCTTGCTACCCTTCTCTCTTCTGTACCCAGGCTGCTTGCTGGGGGAGTAGTGTGTCCACAACACCAAGGGTTGTGCTTGGGCCTCTTGGAAGCTCACAGTGTGAGTTGCACCTCAGGGACCCCCATCCCAATGAGACATCACCCCAGGACAGTTATCCTTATCCTGCCTGGACATCTTAACCCGGTAAATGGTGGCTGCATGATGGAGGTTGTGTGTCCAAGCCCTTCCCACTCACCCTGTGTGGCTGGTGGTGAGGGTGCCCAATCTGTTGTCACTCATGCAATGGTAAAAGTGAGAAGTGGCTGAACACTGAAATATGTGCCCTCACCCCTCTGCTGTGGGGCGGCAGATGCTACCATCAGTGCACTTCATTCTCAACTCCCCCTTGCATGGGTTTTCATGGGCCCAGCCCCCAGGCAGTCTGGGTTGGTGGGAAAACCAGGCTGTGCAACAGGACAAGGAAAGACTGGAAAATCTGCCCTCTATCTCACACAGCATTTCACACCTGGAAAATGCAGGTGGTAAAACCATAAATCATATGCCTAAACCATAAATCATATGCCTAAGTTGAACAGGAGGGCAGTGGCAGAGTTCAATCTAGACCTCTGAGTGCAGTTCCATAAGTGCGCAAGATCATTGTTTCTTTATAGAAAAAAAAACCATCAAACTTGGTGTAACTTAAGTTGTTTCTTCTCCCTTTTTTCTGTGGTTTTTTGTTTTGTGTTCGTTTGTTTTTTTCCTGTTTGCTACTTGCTATCAAGACATGGAGTTGAAGCATGCACAGCAGGAGATGGCATTGTTTAAGAAATAAAAATCTAGAGCACAGGACTTTGTTTTAAACCTTCCCAAGACAGCAGGCTAATGAATAGGTAAGCCATAATTTATTAATAAGTGCAGTCTATTAGTTTTTTCCACGTTTGCTTGGTTTCATTCTGCAGCCATGGGGTGGTTGCACTAAGTGTCTGACTAGAGGGGTCTCCACATAGTCATGACAGCTACAGGACACCTCCTCTGAACAGACCACCAGATACTGTGTGTGGTAGGGGCCCTCAGGAGACTCCATAAACCAGAAATCTCCAGGCCAAATGATGTCTGTTGTCCAGAAACAGTTGCTTGTAGGTGATTCGGCTGGGATGAGGAACAAGAAGCAATTGTTTTCCTGAGATCTCTTGTTCTGCCAGCCCCACTACCATGCTAAAACAGCCTCATGTTAGCCTGAAATTTATTCACCTTGCAGTAACTTGTCAGTTACTAAT